CCATTGATCTTTGATAAGATTAATGGAAGGTCAACTCAAGGCTGCTATTAGGGCATCTATAAAAAATATTTTCCATAACTTCACATGGCCATGTATAATACCTAAGACTAAAACAGACAAAATACTGGAAATCCATGACAGGAACTATTGTCTCAATATTTAAAAGAAAAGCAGCTGGGGAGGGAGCAAATTAGATCAGAAATGTAAGGGAGTTAATCCGAGCCCTACATGCTACTTTCCTGTAAGTTTTCCCTAATAGGCGCTGGAAAGTAAAACTCCAAGGTGGTTGTCACCAATGGAGGCAAAGGCCATTAAAAAACTTAACATGGAGGCCAAATGGCCGAGATATGGAGAAATTTTGGAACAAGAAGGGGACAGATTGAAATTGCAAAGTTTTGAAAAATTAAAAGGGAAAGTGAGAGATTGGCTTCATTATCACCAAATAATGGAAGTGTTTAAAACAGACAGGAAAATTGGCTTCCAGGTGGAAAAATCAAAATTAGAGACTGAATTGTTAGAACCCAGTACTAAGAATCTGTCAAGAATGTACAGCTTGCTGTTGGAATGGAATACACAAGATGAAGTGGTTAAGTCTGCAATGATTAAGTGGGCACAGGACATTGGTCATAATATTTGTTTGCTGGCTGGGAAAGGTTGTGGACCACAGGTATGAAATTTACGGCGTGTAATGCCTTAAGAGAGAATATTATGAAAATGATATACAGGTGGTACATGACCCCAGTCAAGCTTGCAAAAATTTATCATTTGCCCGATAATAAATGTTGGAAATGTAAAGAAATTGAAGGAACATTCTTTCACCTTTGGTGGACGTGCCCAAAGATCAAGGCTTTCTGGGAAATGATTTATAATGAATTGAAAAAGGTACTTAGGTACACTTTCCCTAAGAAACCAGAGGCCTTCCTCTTGGGCATAGTTGGCCAATTGGTGTTAAAGAAGGACAGAACATTTTTTATGTATGCCACAACAGCAGCAAGAATACTCATCGCAAAGTACTGGAAGACGCAAGAACTACCCACCGTGGAAGAATGGCAACTGAAGGTGATAGACTACATGGGACTGGCAGAAATGACGAGCAGAATCCGTGACCAGGGAAGAGATACGGCGCAAGAAGATTGGGAAAAATTTAAAGAGTATTTAAAGAAATATTGTAAAATTAATGAAGTTTAGAATGATGATGGATTGAAAATTATGGAGTTAAAAGCGGTAAGGGATAATTTAAAGAAAATAAATGTTACCAAAATTAATTTAAAAGTAAGGGAAGGATTTGCTAACAATTGAATCAGAAATTAGAATACAGAAAGGGAAGGCATGAGGAAGTCGTGAAAGTAAGCTAAAAGAAAGTAAAAATTGAAGTTATACGTGTTTTATTTTTTGTATTTTTATTATGTCTTTTTTTTCTTTTTCTTTATTTGTTATTGTGTTGTGTTGATATGTTAAAACTTCAATAAAAACTTAATTTAAAAAAAAAGTAAGTTTTCCCTAATAGGCAAACAGAAGTTTGGGGAAAGTGTTAGTTTAGGAAAGGTTCATTGGACGTAAAGGACTAACCCCTTCTTCCAGCACCAGAGTCTCAAGTCAATTTGGGCTGCCCCTCCCCAACACAGCTTCTTCTGAAACACAGAAGTTGGACTGGCAACAAAATTCTGTAGTAAGGAGTTTAAGGTTTCAGCCAGCCAGCCTAACCTCTTTCATTCCACTCCCACTCCCAGAGTTTTCCAGTATAACAGCTTTCCAAACTGAGCATGCTTTAAATTTCTCCGACTCCAGAGTTTTCCCCCTGCAAATGTTGGGGCATTTCTGAGTCCACTAATACATCCTTCTTATGTGCAGGCAGTGCCATTTTGGATACATACTAGGATGCATACTAGGAAAATGAGTTTTGTTTTAGTAGAAAAGGTTAAAGGAGGCAGTGGCGTAGCGTGGGTTGTCAGCACCCGGGGCAAGGCAAGTAATTTGTGCCCCCTAACCCGTGGATTTGCGCCCCCTAACCTGTGGATTTGCCCTAACCCCAGATGTTGCGCCCGGTGCGGCCGGCCCCCCCTGCACCCCCACGCTACGCCACTGAAAGGAGGTATACGTTCTGATTATAAATCTCCAATATCTTGGCAAACTTGTCCAAAATCCACATAATACTATGTGTGTCCCATCTTCCTCTGGCAAACAGGAGAAACTGCAAAGAGGTATGAGGAAACAGCTATTTCGCATTGTGTTTCAGAAATGCTCTAAGCACATCAAAAAGTGTAATATAAATACTGATAAGCCCCAACTCTTCTCCTCCACTCAGAGTACCTCAGAAGTACAGCACAAGTGCTGGGACAATCCTCCGTGTCCTTCCAGAGCTTGAACTATGGCTGGCTCTTGTCCGTGCTGGATTGGCTTGATAGGTGCTTCAAACACTACAAAAGCCCAGCACAACTGCAGGTGTTTCCCCTTTGCACCTTTAAGCTTGGGTAGAGGGATGGAGCTCATCCGTGTGACAAAATCGTTTGAAAACACTTTTAGCCCCACAGAAGTGACACATGTTATCAAGTCTGCGTTTTCTCAGGAGTGGAGTATTAGCCCTGGCATTTGCATTGTGCTAGCACTTCAAGTATCTCTTAAATTCAGCATGACATCACACAGGATCTCACATTTCCCTATTCAGAGATGAGCATGGTCTTGACCATCACAAATGTTGGCTGGCCAGCAGGGCCATCCAAAAATGTGTGTGTGCTCCCCCCCCCGAGTTTGATCCTTAGAACCCATTGTTTAGTGTACTGCACACTCTATCTTGGGTTGTCTGCTAGAAGCACCTCCCTCATTCTTTTAATCTTGTGTCACTAAGAGCAAAACTGTTTTGTGGAACATGACAATCCTGCCTAGTATCTTGCACAGATTCCTCCTTTGAAAGTTCTCCAGACTAGGAGATAAAATTAGAGCACTCTGATACAGCTGAGGGATATCCCCTTCAATGAACTGTGAAGGTTGCCCATGTAGAGAGGAATGGAAGGATTCCCCAAGCTTCACAAAACTGGTGTTTGCTAAAGAACTTGGATTGGTTTGTTGCTTTTGTTTGGTTTTTAAAAAATGCTACTTCTGAATTAAGTACTGCCCCGCCCTGGTTCCATTGGGGAACATCTCCCTGCAAAATTCACACTGCTATTATAGTTACTGGGTAGTAGCAGCTTCCATCATTGTGGAAATTGGGAAAGTACAGTATCTATAAACATTTGCTGTTGGCCAAGGATTTTGAGAATCTAACACAATATGCTTGTTTTCTCACTAAGGAAACAATGAACATAAAACATACATTATTAGAGGGACATCTGGGACAGATGTCCCTCTAATAATGCATTAGACAGGAGGGAGAAAGGTAGTTTTCTGCTGCTCCAGAGAAGCGGACACGGAGCAATGGATCCAAACTACAAGAAAGAAGATTCCACCTAAACATTAGGAAGAACTTCCTGACAGTAAGAGCTGTTCGACAGTGGAATTTGCTGCCAAGGAGTGTGGTGGAGTCTCCTTCTTTGGAGGTCTTTAAGCAGAGGCTTGACAACCATATGTCAGGAGTGCTCTGATGGTGTTTCCTGCTTGGCAGGGGGTTGGACTCGATGGCCCTTGTGGTCTATTCCAACTCTATGATTCATTCTATGACTTCTAATCCTGGGATCACTGTTCCAATAGAGTATATCTCCCAAAGCATTGTTGTCCTGTTCAGATGTGGTCTTATAACTTGTAAAGCAGGAGAAGTGAGGAACGTGTGGGACCTCCAGATCTTGCTGGACTCCAACTGCCACCTGCAGGTCCACAGGTTCCTTACCATGGCTTTAAAAATGTTTTATTCATATTTGAAACTTCTTAATGTTCAACAAAGCTTTCAAATGTTAGTTGCATGCAATGAGTAAATATTGGCCCTCAGGTAAGCTGGCAGGTGGCCGTGCTCTGCTTCCAACTATACACAAAGACATAGACACTTTAGGCTGCATAAGTGATTTTGCAAAGGGAGATATGTGCACAGCCTAATGGCTGGTAACAACAGTGTCTGGTAACTGGGTGAAGTGCCCTCATAAGATGATTTTGAGGATGCATGTAAGCTGCTCACCAGCTTCAGGTGAATAGGCCAAGTGTCTCCTGTAAAAGGATTGTGAGGAAGAGTATATTACACCGATGCTCCAATATCTGCATTGATTTTATGTGGCTCTAAAACAAGCCATTGTTGTGTGGTGGTTGGTTGGTTTTTTAATGTATACACCCCTACACTATTTGAGCCTAATACAAGATGCCCTTCTTACCCTATACAATGGTACCTCTGGATACGAACAGGATCCGTTCCAGAGCCCCGTTCGCATCCTGAAGCGAATGCAACCCGCGTCTGCGGGTCGCTATTTGCCGCTTCCACGCATGCGCATGACGTCATTTTGACCGTCTGCGAATGCGCAAGCGGCGAAACCCAGAAGTAACACGGAACACAATCCGAAAGCACTCAACCTGAAGCAACTTCAACCCGAGGTATGACTGCACCTCCAAGGCAATCTCTAAACTTGATTGTGAACCACCTCTTAAAGTATCACACATTTGGCCAAGTTCAGACAACAAAGACACATGGAAATACATAGTTTAAACTTTACATAGTTTAGAAGCAATTTCTAGGCTCTATTTAAGTGGCCTTTTTTTAGAAGGTCATGGAGCATATTTAGGTTGGGGATTCTTTAGCTCTTTAACTGTGGTTGCACATTATGAACCTTCAAAGCTAAATACAATATAAATTAAGGTAACAGAAGGGCACAGCAACTCAAAGAAAGCTATCCAAAGAACAACTGAAAATACTCTCTGCCTGAGGTTGTCAGAACCCATATTCTATTCCTAGGTGTAAAAGTGCTGCCTTGTGATATGAAGAATCTGAGTTAAATGCAAGAACACTGGTTACCAATGCCAATTCACGTTGCCCAGTCTGTATCTACCACTAAAAGGGATGCAAATAATTACATTCTATTTCATACCTGGCTGATATGTACTGCCGAAACCTGGACTGAACATACAGATGAGTGGCTTGGAGAGTTTGGTAGGGATTTGCAAGGGCCTATCGAAAGTTGCTGTTTTTTCCTTGTTGCAACAATCTTCTGTGCAACTGTAAAGACAAAATTAAAAGAATTTGATTACATAGAAACCCTGTGATGCAGCATTCTGCTCCTCTGTTCAGAGTCCTGCTTCCATTAAAGAGCAATTTCATGATCTGACCAACAACATAAACTGGCAGTCCTGCAGCTGATGCACATAGAAACTACAGAGGAGTGGAAGCTGATGGTAAAAGTGCTTACTTGTCTGTTGCTGTTGTTATTAGTAATATATAGGCTATTGGTGTACACCACAAATCTCTTGAAACCAAGATGTGTTTTCAATCACAATAAATATTTTAAAAGTTAAATCAATTTCTTCTGGATTCCACATGAATGAATTTGCAATGAGAACAGTTAAGTGAATCATTTGTTTTCAAGAGGGAAGCTAGAACACCGCAGATAGAATGTCACAGTATTAGAATTATTCTGAATGAAACACAGCCTCCATCGCCAAGAAAACGAAAAAGGAGGGGGCAGCTTTTGACACAGGATGTATTTGTTTTTGTAACTTCTCCTGGAGTAGATCCGCACCAAGTTTAAAAAAGGAAGGCCAAACTGAGGGATATTTCAGCTTCAGTTTTCGCTAAGTAGTCTGCTCTCAAGGTCCCAATGCAGGTCACCCTCCCAATGTTTTAGACTACTTCCAACCTAGTCACCATGGCCATACTGAATGGAGATGATGGAAGTTTCATTTAAAATGTTTGGAGGGGAAGGCTGTCCTAAAGCTTGGATGATGGCAGTATCTTCAAAAAAGCAGAGCTATCACACCAGTGAAGGTGATAAGAGGTACCTGTTACCAAAGTGTTCTACCTCCCAGAGATTTGCCCCACATGCCATTCCACCAAGTGGGAGCTTGGGACCAGCACAACTGAGCAAGCTGGGTGAATCAGGGTGTCTGCAGGGTAGGGCTCTACCCCACCAAACACCTGATTCGCCCGGGAGCAGGGCAGCAAAATAAATAACTTACTGACTGGTGAATCAGGGGGTCTGCAGGGCAGGGCTCTACCCCACCAAACACCTGATTCGCTCGGGAGCGGGGCAGCAAAAATAAATAACTTACTGACTGGTGAATCAGGGGGTCTGCAGGGGAGCGGGGCAGCAAAAGATGCATCTATCCCGCCAAACATGTGATCTGCTCGGCAGTGTCTTTTGTTGCTGCGCTACCAGGCAATTCAGGTGCTTGGTGGATGGAGCACAGCAGCAAAAATTGGTGCACATTTACTGCTGCTGTGTCTGGCGGACCAGCTGACTGCAGCTAGGCAGGTGGAGTTGCTAAGCACCAAGGGTGGCGCCTGGACATCTCCACCTAGTCACAAAAGGCCAGTTGTCAGTAGCAAAATGTGACTGGTGCACAGCTAATGTCAAATGCCAATCACAAGGGGTCTAAACACACATGGATCTAATCCTCAGACCCATCTGCCCATCTGAGTCATGTATTAAGACTAGGTCACATGTCATTTCAAGTTTCACCTCTGATTTTAAACTGGAGATTCAGTTTTCAGTTCTTGACTTATATAAAAACTCTTAGTGTATTGAAACAAATTTATCTTCATTTATGTTGCAATTATCTCTTAGGGCAGTTAATTTGATGGAAATTAAACTATTGTTTAATTGCTCCTATTAATCGAGAGATTTAAAGAACCACAGTAATAAATAGTTACCTTCAAGACAGAACAAAGTCAAAGCTACTCATGTTGATTCTAAAAGGTAAAATAATTCTAAGCAGAATGAGAACAGAGCAGGCTCAAAATGGTCTTTTCAAAAAAGGAGGATGCTGCAGAGCAGTATATCAAGTTTTCCAGTGAAATAGTTTTCACTCTATATTTCAGCGATTCAGAAATTTGTAATCAATCTACCACAACCTGATTAAAATCAGTATTTTGTTTCCTCTGAAGGAAATGCTATTATGGGGGCATGAAGCCCCACACACATCCAATGTGCTTTAAGTTGTGCCTAGTGCACTACTGGAATGAGCCCCACAACAGTTTTAAATGGAGCAATGCAGTCTCGGCCTGAAAAAAGGGTTCCCCATTATTGTATTAGAGGAAATTATTTCTGTTAATCACAACAGACTGGGACAAAAACAACAACCTATTGTTGGCCTACTAAAGTGAGAAGTAACCTCTTGAATATCTAACTACCACATATATATTCCTGAATAATCCACTTCACCCAGTTGTTTTTTTAATGCTTTTCGGGTTTTCCAGTGAATTATTAAAATTGGCTTCCTTAGGACGCTTCAGGGGCACAGATATAAAGCCACATATTTAGAACTGGCAGGGAGTTCCTGGTGCTGTCTACCAAAGAATATGGTGGTTTTTATGTGGATAGGGTAATCTGTGAGTTTTACAGTATGTGCGTGTGTGTGTGTGCGCGCGCACACACACACAGAGTAATATTGTGTTTTATTGTTGTTACCTGCCCTGAGACCTTAGGGTGAAGGGTGGATAACTAATAACACCACAAACACACACACATACACCTCAGAGCTCCTACCTGACCTCGGGAACATTAGCCCTGAATCAGTGTTTGGGGGGGGGTTAATTGTGGTTTATTTGGTTCACCATCTTGATTCAACATGGCAACTGCCATCCAAACATGAATGAAGACCACCTCATCCATCTTGGAAACCCTTGTGCCAAGTTAGGTGCTGATATCTTCAGAGGCATACAAATTAGCACAGGTTAGAATGGTTATGCCCAAAATCAGACAAAATCCCACTTAAGCCACATTCTGGTCTACCATATTGATTCAAAATAGTGGTTAGCATCCCAACATTGACAAAAATTGCTACCCCCACCTCTGGAAATCCCATGCAGAGTTTGAAGTTGGTGCCATTTGGACCCACCACACAAAAAAATGTGTGAAGACAAGCCTAAGTCACATTTTGGACCACCGTTAATTCAAAATGGTGACCAGTAGTCCAACACTGAAGAAAACCACAGACCCCCTCACCCCAGGAACAATCATGCAGAGTTTGAAATCCGTCAAGTTTGTACCCATCACTCCAAAAATCAGGCAGTCACATTTCGTACTGCCATCTTGATTCAAAATGGTGGCTGCATTGCCCACATCAACAAAAACTGCCACCCCACCTCAGGAACCCTCATACCAAGTTTGATGATGGTATCAAGGTGGCCAGACCTACTGAGAACAAATGGTAAAAAAAAGTTTTTCCAGAATATATAGTAGATTCCTTTATTTTCCTAATCTAAAACTCATCCCTGATAGAATTTGGACCAATTTACATATGTACACCAAGAAAGAAAGGTACAAGAAGATACTTCACAACACTGAAGACCTGTCTATATTAGAGTCACCACATATATGGTGCTTAGAACCCACAGAAGGCCTCAGTCCTTCCATATATGTTCATAATCTTGCCACAGCTGCACATCCTCCTAAGGTACAACTACAGTGCTGAATAGGACAGTATGAGAGGCTGCAAATGAAGCCTGCCTGGAAGCTGCAGGAGCAAACACAGCAGAGCACATCACCACCCAAGGAGAGTAAGACATCACCCTGCAGAATCTGAAGCAGTGGTGTACTGGCTTCCTTTAGGTCCCCACTGAAGGCCCTGTTTGACCTACTAGTCAGAAGAATGGCCTCATCCATTAAGATTAAGAGAGCACTTTCAATTCCTACCTGTGTATCAACACAAAAAGAGCCAATCCAGAGGACTTGTGAGGGACTTCACTGTACTTTATTTGTTGCACTTTGGCCTATGAGACCTTTTATAGGAGGCAAATATTCAGTTGTATCACCATGTCAACTGATTTGCAATGACAGGTGTGTTTTCTACCCAGCCCTGCAGAAGCCCAGCTGTACTTATACACAATCAGGCATTTCTTCACCAAACTGAAGAAGCAACTTATCTTTTACAGCTATTGTATGTTTTAATTTTTTTTTATAATGTAACCAGCAATCCATGTTGTTTCAAATATCAATGAAATATGATTTGATCTCCTAAATTATCACAGACAAATTCACAGTACAACACTGTTAGCCATAAAAATCACTGACATTATTTTGTAGTTTCATTCCATTGTTTAGTAACATTAAACTAATGTGTTTTATACTTGGCAAAAGATTGTTAGAGTTATTACATTAACCTAGCATAGGACTGCTTCATTTTGAATAGGCTAAAACTTGGTTTTCTGCCAGTTCTCTTTTGCATTCATAGTTTCAAGAAAAACCTAGATTTCATGTCAGAACTTTCTCATATACATTCCCCTTCATTAACGTTTTTTCACATTGGCTCTCACTAGCATGCATCAAATACACCATTAATCTTAGGATTTTGAAAAAAAGCTAATAAAACCATGAACAACAAAGTAAGCTTAGTACTATGTAGGCATAATTAGGTCAAATGTGAATTTACAATTTGGATATCACCCTTTGCATGCAAACTATTCCATATCCTGGATCTATTAATCATCCAACGAAATTGCTAAAAATGTGGGCTCAATGAGCCTTCTGTATTTTATGAGAAAATTACTCAACTGATCTACCCTATTAGGAAAGATGGGAGGATGGTAGATACAAGCTGATGTAGAGCTCACAAACAAGGCTATAATATACACCACTACATATAAAGGTAAAGGTAAAGGTACCCCTGCCCGTACGGGCCAGTCGTGTCCGACTCTAGGGTTGTGCGCCCATCTCACTTAAGAGGCCGGGGGCCAGCGCTGTCCGGAGACACTTCCAGGTCACGTGGCCAGCGTGACAAAGCTGCATCTGGCGAGCCAGCACAGCACACGGAAACGCCGTTTACCTTCCCGCTAGTAAGCGGTCCCTATTTATCTACTTGCACTTGGGGGTGCTTTTGAACTGCTAGGTTGGCAGGCGCTGGGACCGAGCAACGGGAGCGCACCCCGCCGCGGGGATTCGAACTGCTGACCTGACGATCGGCAAGTCCTAGGCACTGAGGCTTTTACCCACAGCGCCACCCGCGTCCCACCACTACATATACATGTCAGCAATTTTGGCTTTCTGTCTTACCCCATGGTAA